GTTCTGATCCCACATGAGGGCCAGCGTAGAGGGTCACACTGCCCTCTACAGCTAAGATGGTGAACAACAGCTCGACCTGGAGCTGGGCTGCTGTGAGTCACCGGCGATGGCGTAGGCTGCAGCCCCTGCTGCAGTGGGCTGCCATAAGCTACCGTGAGTGGGCAGCAGCCAGCGTGAGCTGCCAAGAGCCTCCGTGAGCGGCCGTCCAGAGGCCAGCGACGGATCTGTCTCACCCGGGAAGAGCACAATGATAATACCAACATGAGCCAGTGAAACGATGTCCTCCACAACTAGACTGAAGAACAAAACGACAGCAACGTGTCTGTTCCCCTCCCCCAACTCCCCAGCACTGTTCCCTCCCCCAATTCCCCAATAAAATCTTTAAAAAAAATCAAAATTAAAACCCATGTCCAACCAAATGTCGGCATTTCGCATAAAGACAGTGTCCAACTTTGCACTTGCCAGACTCACCTGGCCCTCCTTCTCCTAATCCCAGCCCCATCCGCTGCTGTCTTTGCTTAAAATGGTAAAATTTTGCTTACTGAGGGCCCCTGTGCACTCATATATTTTACAATATTGCACTACAATATTATTTCTCTTGATGACTGAGATTTCAGCATCCCCCTAAATGTTGGCCCACGGTAACAGTCCTGATTGCCTCACCCAGATCTGGGCCCTGAAGGATAGTAACAATTGAAGAACACTGTTTGCTTTTCCTCCTATTTACTTTGTTTTCAGTTGCATTCTCGTAACATGTTTTCAATTTGTACGTGTTGGTGACTAAGTTTCCCTAAAAATATATATTTTTTTAGATTTAAAAAGTAGGCCATTTAAAGAAGATTAAATAACTATTTTCATAGGCTACCTGCAGCTATGTATCTGCCTCTGGGATCCCATCCAGTCTGTGGTTTTAATAACAGCCCAGACTCATCTGAATTCTCAACTCAAGTCCAACTGGCTACTGGAACTTCCTTCTAAGTAACCTCAGGTGACCCCCATGACCCCCACTTCCTGGTGTTCACACACACACACACACACACACACACACACACACACACACACACGTGTTAATGTCCTTCCCTTGAGTATGGGCAGGACCTGTGAATTGCTTCTAACCGATAGAATACGACAGGTGATGGGATGTCACTGTCATGATTTTATGACATTATGTAAGACTTCGTCTTAACAGACTGGGGGCTGTTCTGGGGAGGCAGGGAGACAAGGAGCTATGGGAGGCCTCTAGGAGCTGAGAGTGGCCACCAGCTGGCAGCCAGTCAAAGCCGGGCCCTTTGTCACTGGCCAATAACCTGAACAAGTTTGGAAGCGGGTCCTTCCCCAGTCAGGCCTTCAGATGAGATCACAGCCTGGGCAGCACTGCTTCTGCAGCCTCAAGAGACCCTGAGCAGAGAAGCCAGCTCAGCCATACCCAAGCTCCTGGCCCACAGAAACTAGGAGATGATAAATAGGAGCTGTTTCAAGCCACCAAAATTGTAGCAACTTGTCACCACAATCCAATGACTGACAAGCTTCTCAAATCTGACACGCACCAAACTGAGCTCCTGATATCTCTTCTCATGTACCCCCCAAATACCTGTTCCTCCCACAGTTTTCCCCATCTCAGACAGAAGCTCCGTTTTTATGGTCACTCAAACCAAAAATCCCTGGGATCATGAGGCCTTTCTCAGAGCCCCCATCCAGTCTGTCCAACAAATGCTGTCAGTCACCTTCAAAGCATATCTAGAATTGGGCCACGTCCATCACTTCTACCCTGGGCTAAGGAGAGCATCGTCCCGGCCTCATCAAGGGCTGGCTGCTTCCATCCTCACCAGCTAAAATCTGAGTCAGGCCATGTCCCACCCCTGCTCAACTCTCCATGTGGCTCTCACTCAGGGCAAAAGCCCCGCACGACCTGGTCCCACCTACTCTTTGCTGTCTGTCTGCAGCTCCTACTTCCTCCCTCCCTCGGTTCCAGCCACATGGGCTTCCTCAGTGTTCCTCAAACATATGAGGTACAGTTCAGCCTCAGGGCCTTTGCACATGCTGTACCATCTGCCTGATGTGCTTATCTATAGCCTCATGACAGTCACCTCCGCCTTCCCTGCTTTGTTTGTTTTCTCCTGTGTTATGTAAGTTGTATCCATAGGAGTAGATGGCAGGATAGTTTCTGCCAAGGTGCAGAGCCTGGGGTCCCTTATAGCCCCCTTGGGAGAAGTGGCTGACCCTGGAAGAAGGGAGCCACGGAGAGAACAGCCACAACGTGCTCCCCACTCTTGAGCACAATATTGATAGAGAGAGCAAGTTATCTTACTCTGCACTCTGCACTCTTGGCAGTTCCAAAGTTGCTGTTTGATAATTACACTGGTACATCGTTTCTCAAGAGAATGGAAACGTGTTGGGAGAAATTCATTGCACTAAATGACAGTTACATGCAGTATCTGATTTATTACCACAACTCTGCTAGGAGACCAACTGTATTCTGACTGAGGAGGAAATAGAGGCACACAGGAGCCAGGTGACTTGCCCAAGATCACAGGATGTGGTGGTTTGAAAGCATGTCCACAAATTCTTTGCCATCCTCTCTTTGGCAAAGCTTAATTTACCTCCCTTTGAGTGTGGGCTGGACTTAATGACTTACTCCTAATGTACCTGAAGTGATGGAGTGTAACTTCTGAGATTACATCATAAAAGACATGTGGCTTCTGCCTTTCTCTCTCTGGGACCACTCGCTCTGGGGGCTGGGGGGAGCTAGCCACCACATTGTAAGGATGCTCAGGCAGCACTGTGGAGGGGCCCCGTGGGGGAGCTGAGGCCTCCTGCCAGCAGCCATGTGGGGAAGCCATCCTGGAAGGGGCCCCTCCGGCCAGTAGTGGAGCCTTCAGATGAGGCAGTCCATGCCAGCAGCTTGACTGCAGCCTCATGAGGGACCCTGAGCCAGGACCACCCAGATAATCACTCCCTAATTCTTACCCACAGAAACTGGAATAATAAACATTCATTTTAATCCGCTAAATTTTGGAAATAATTTGTTACACAGCAACCGATAACTAATACACAAGCTGCCGATCCCATGACCCTTCTGTCTGCCTTTCTGCTTTCCCTCCCAGGAAGCGCACACACTGTTCTCGGTAGCCCATCCTGCACCCTTCTCTTAATTTCCTCTTTAGTTCCCCATCCTTCATGCAGAGAGCCTGTTGTGAATCGTCTCCTTGCCTTACTGGCCGGTTTTATCTAGTTGGTTAAAGCAGTGATTCAGCCTCTCCAAGGGGAGATACAGTGCTTGGGTTCCCATTTTTCCAAGCTATCAACTTCCATAAAACCCCAAACTTCATCTCAGCTTTGCCCCCTGGGCACCTAACTTCTCCCCCTCTTCACTCTCAACTCTGTAACCATCTTGCTCTGTATGATTTTTTCTGTCTCCTAATCCAAGGTGATCATGGTTTTTCCACTCTCCCATCCCACGTGTCTGCCCTTTTTCAGTCCCACCGCAGCCAAAGCCTGTTTATGGAACAGACACCACTTGTCTGTGCTGCAGCCTCTCCGGTTTCTCCCAGTCCCCGTCCTCAGACTCGAACCAAGCCAGGAAAACCTCCCTCCCCTTTGCCCCAACTTCATGAAATAAATCACTCAGCAAGCCTAAAGGAAATTTAATAAGCTCAGTCTGCTTTTTCTTCTTTTTGTCTGTGAACTTTTTGTTAAGTTTTCATGGGAAGCATTGTTTGTGAGAAAACTATTTGTGGCGATGATATCTTGTGTTCTTGTAGTTTTCCAACATGCACAGGGGAAAAGAGAGTCAGAGATCCTGGGGCGGGGGGCTGTTGAGGGGAGAAGCCGATAAACACAGATGATACCCAGGAAAACGGATAAAGCGTGCAGATTAGAAAAAGAAATTTCCAATCACTTAGGACTTGTGTAATTTAAAAGGAATACAATGGTCCTGAATGCAATGGGGGACCCAGTGTTGGATCCCGCGATGGAAAAAGGACATGAGTAGGAACATGGGAAATTTGAACGCAGTCAGCTGAGTGTCACACGACGTTAATTTCTTTCTTTTTCTTTTTTGAATTTTTATAAGAGTTTATTTGAGCCAAGCTGACAACATGCCAGGGAGCAAGATCTCAGATGCTCCCAGGACGTTTAATTTCTTAGTTGTGGCCATTGTGTTGTGGTTAGGTAAGATTTGAACACTAGGGGGAGCTGGGTGACGGGCAGGCAGTGACGGGCAGGTGGGGACTAAAATGATTCTGGAATCATTATCTTTAATTAACAGAGGTAAAGTGGGAAAAACAAAACCTTATGTGGATATCAGCCAACAACCCAGAAGAGGTCATCCTCTTTGTTAATTTTAGGGTCACGCAGGTTCACAGACATAGCTGGGAACAGCCATTCCCACGTATGTGCATGAGACATTCATGCCAGGAGAGCACAAAGCCCATGCCTACTATGTGTGCAGCCCATGGATGTCAGTGAGTTAAGCTAGCCCTCGAGGGACCTGCGCGACTCTCCCCATTTAATCGATGATGAAATTGAGCCTTGGAGAGATGACCTCCTCTGTGTTTCTGCCTCTTTGCCTCTGTCTCCCTCTGTCCCTCTCTCTCTATGTCTTTGTCTCTGTATAGCTATCGCTCTGCCCCTCTCTCTCTCTCTCTCTCTCTCTCTCTCTCTCTCTCTCTCTCTCTCTTCTCTCATACACCCACAGTTCTTAGAATTCCAAGATGCCCCACCCCCACCCCACTTTGCTGCTTGCTAGCTTCTCTATCACTAAATGGGCCTCTGCTACCCCAGGACCCTGTTGTTCAGGTGAGTCAGGTGAGCCACGAAGATGGGGACCAGACACAGCGGCATCCACACAGCTCTGTCACCCCCTCTTTCCACGTGTCCCCCTCACATTCCTTTACTGGAGGGTGAAAACAGCAGCCCAGACCCCCTCACCCCTGTTTCTGCTTCCAGCTTCCTTCTCCAGGATTCACGACTCACCTGGCTGCCGTCAAGGGAATGCCTACCTCTGCCTGTTCACTCTGTGGTCCCCAGGTCCCAGGCGGGGCCTCTGCCACTCTGCCACAGCTCCAGACTCTTGACGAACAGCTGTGATAACAGGAGCAGAGCTTTCTGTAAGCATTCTGTTCTGAGTTGGAGTCCCAGCCTTGATAAAAGGTCACCCAACATGCTTCTATCTGCAGTCTCCAGGCGCCATGTTTTATACCCTAAACCTTCAGAGTTCTGCAGAGAGAACTTTGAATGCCACACAGATGCTCAGCAGGCATGGGGCAAGAGCCAGGATGGACTGCAGGTCCACTTGCTCGAACCATACACTGTGGTCAGATGAGCAGGGACAAACATCTGGGCTTCTGTTTGGTGGGCAAGAGGGCTGCCCACCGCGAGGTAGACTTAATTTGTGTGGCCGTCAGAGCTGTGTGAGCGGCCGTGACTCTGGCCCTGTTTTCCAGATGAGGAAACTAGTAAGGGGGAGTTGGCACATACACAACCATACACGCAACCTCACACAACCACACACAAAATCACACGACCACACACTATTGTGACACCACCATACACAATCACACACATGTGGTCACACTAGTTATACAGATACACAACCACACAGTCACACACAACCACACACACTTAATGACATAACCATACACAATCATGACCACATGTACACACACAATCTCACACACACGATAGTCACACTCACAATCTCACATCCACACCACAGCCGGCCAGGGTCCCAGGCAGGCAGGGTGGGCTGTGGGTCTGCAGGCCCCATGCCCCATGGGCATAGACAGATCTGCTATGGAGGCTGCTACCCCTGCTTGTCAGATATTATGTCCCACAGTCACAATGCACAAAACGTGGATTACTTGAGTGCAGGTTCACAGAGGCTTCTCTTCACAGTTCCAATAAGTGGACACTAACCGTGGCCGAGGGCCTATATGGATGTGAACACACGTTCCCCAAACCTTTTGCCACCAGGAGCCTGGCTTTGACCCCCGTGAGATGGGCAGGAGGGTGAAGGCCCGGCCCCAGAGGATCCCTGTGCCGCCCATCCTCACCAAGTTGTGGGAACTTCGAGGACATCACACAATGTGTGCCAAGGGCAGCTTTCCTGCCACATGTAACTGAATGCATGACAGCCCCTTCCCCAGGCAAAGACAATACCACCCCCATTTTCACACCTATGACCACACCCTCCCCAAACGGTTACCACAAAATCTTTGTCATTTATTCACTCACCAGCCACTCAGAGGTTGCGACAAGGGACAGGGGGAGAAGTAGGGCACTCCCTTATCACATACGGGCAATCCTCACCGGTCTTTGTCCATCACATTCCTGCCGCACCACCAGGCCCCACAAAGGGTCCAGGCTGATGCACCACACTTGGTTTTAGCCACATTCATTCTCAGAAATACGGGAAAATTGCCGTCCGGAATACAGAGCCCTGGGGGGCCCATGCCCACAGTGGGCTCCCACCACTTTTACACGGCCGGCTACATTCACACACTCCAGAGGCATCTACACAGCAGGTCTGCGTCCAGACAGCCTGCCCACATTTCTGCACAGCCGTAGTCTACACAGCCGCCCCAAGTCTACACAGCCGGCCTCATTCACACACCCCGACAGCGTCCACACAGCCCTTCCACTCGTCTACAAAACCGCGTCCACGCAGAGTGGCCCTGGATGAACTGAGGCACAGGGAGGGAGGGCTGCTCTGGTCCCATTTCGGGAGGGGGTGCCGCGTCCCGCCGACCCCCGACTCACCGCGCTACGCCTGAGGCTGCACCGCGTCCTATTCCCGCCGAGCAAACCGAGCGGGGGCCTTAGGGAGAGGGGCGGGGCGGGGCGGGGCGGCACCTGAGTTGGAAGCATCACCGGCTGGGGGCGGTGGCACCTGGGCTGAGGGAGGCACGGGCTGGGGGCGGGGCCTGGGCTGGGAGTATCGCGGACTGGCGTCCGGACTCCGGCTGGGGGCGCTCCCCCCCACCCCTCCTTCACCAGGGCATCACCAGCCCCACCATCCTCCCCTGCCCGCCTCCTGTTTGCCCCTTCCCCTGCGCACCTGAACCCGGCCTGCCGCCCTCAGCACCGCCGGGGTGGGGGCTCCAAGAGGACGCTGGGTGCGCCGGCCCTGTGCGCCCGTCAGGAGCCCCGGGCCCAGGCGGGGTCCCATCAGTCCATACCCAGTTTCGGAAAAGGGCCGGACCAGCAGAGGGAAAGGAGTGGACACACTGGGTGCCCGGGAGCCATGGAGGTGGTCCCTGGACCCTGTGGCTGCTGCGGATGGAGCCCAGCGTCCAGGTGGAAGCAGGGCCTGGGCAGGTAAGGTGACCGCGGACAGAGGGCAGAGGAGGGGTGCTGGGACCTGCGGAGAGCAGACGCGCAAGGCAGCAGAGAGCTTGGGGAAGGGGTGTGGTGTGTGAATAACTACAATATTTTTAAAAATAAACTTTTGACTTTAGAACAGTTTTAGATTTACAGAGTTGTAAAGATAGTACTAGTTCTCGTGTACCCATATCCAGTCTCCTCATTACTTACATCTTACATTAGTGTCACAATTACTGACCTAATATCAACAATTTTTTTTTAATTGGGGAACTGGGGGAGGGGAACAGCGTTGGGGAGTCCGGGAAGGGCAACAGACAAGTTGCTGTCCTTTTGTTCTTCCCACTGCAGCAGGGGCTGCAGCCTACGCCGTTGCTGGCGACTGACGGCAGCCCAGCTCCACGTTGAGCTGTTGTTCACCATCTTAGCTGTAGAAGACAGTGTCACTGGCCCTCATGTGGGATCCGAACCAGGGCCCTGCTGCTCAGAGCTGGCGTCCCAAGACAGCTCTTAACCAACGCACCACTTGGCCGGCCCTATCAACACATTATTAACTAACATACGTGCTTTATTCAGATTCCTGTTTTCCCTATGTCCTCTGTCCCAGGATCCCATGTGACAGGTGTCTCATCTCCTTGGAACCCTCCAGGCTATGACAGTTTCTCAGACATTCCTTTTTCTGGACACCCTGGGTAGTGGTGAGGAGGGGGGTTAAGAGTTTGGTAGCTACCCTTCTTTTGGGGTTGGTCTGGTGTGTTTATCATGGTCTGGCTGGAGCAATGGCTTCGTCTGTTTTGACGCACCTGGGCACCTGGCATGGCCATGTGGCAACCCAGCCTTCCCCTCCAGCTTCCATAGCAGGTTGCTTATTCCCTCTGGGAGCCTGTGCCCTCTGTTAGAACTGCCATCTTTGCCATCCCCCAGGGTCCCAGCTGCCTGCAGTATGGTCCCATTTACTGAATACGTGCAGATTCTCTTTGGTGTTTCTGATGACCCTGCAGAAGAGCTGTCACCCCTTCTGGCAGAAGAGGCATCTGCAGCCGCAGAGGGCAGCGATGTGCCCAAAGTCATCTGGCTCCAGACCTGGGTTCTTTCCACCTCTGCCTCCTTCTTTGAGCCAGAACAGCTGTGTGAAGAGCAGTCCGTGACCCCTGGGGGCCACTATTCTCTCTCTCTACCCCAGGGCAGCAACTAGGTTCTTTCTGGAGCTACAGCCCCGTAACCATCTGGTGACATGCTAGTGACTTCCCCATGTGGCTGTCAACCCCCAACCCCTTCCCAGCCAGGCTCCTCACCCCCCATCCTTGAACACTGGCACCAGCCATACTCACTTCCCCCACCAAGGCCTGGAACCACCCCTCCTGCATCCCTTGGGCTTAGCCAAAAGTCACCTCCTCCAGGCAGCCTTCCCTGATACCTGACTCCCCAAATCAGAGTTGGGGGCCTCTCCTGCACTGACCTGTGTCCTGTCCTTTTTCATCAGGGTAATCCACCAGGGCCAGAGGGGGTCTGAGACTCACACATCCCCAAACCAAGTCGGGGGCGGGTGGAACCTGGCACACAGAAGGCACTCAATGAAGACTGCTTGAATGTCTGAATGAATGGATGAATGAAAGAAAACTGTAAGTTCTGGCCTGCTTAGTAAAAGGAAATCACTGTCCTCACAGCATCACTCCACTTTGTAGCTTAAGTACAAGATGCTGAGCTCTGTGCCCCAAGGGAGCAGAAACAAAACATGGGTCTCCCTAGCGCCAACGTGCAGCTACTGCTTCCTGGGGCTGTCCCCTGACCCCATCACCTGCTGGGGCCTACCACCTTCCAAAAACGTGACCCGTCATCAGTTGTCATGTAGGATGGACAGCCAAGTCAATACAACTGCTCAGTGCCACTCCAGGCACCAGATCTCGGGGTTGTCCCCTGTGCCTGTCCCCTGTGTCACCATCCCCATGTCACAGAGGACCTGGAGTCAGGGTGAGCCACCTGCGTAAGTCTTCACTGAGGCTCTCCTTTTAGATAGCTTACTGGTGAATCACTAATAGTTAAAATTTACAAATAACTGTGATTTTAAATATTCTAGAATTACCTTGCAGTGATGAAGCCATCCTTCCCAGCTGGTTTAAATTAGGCTTTGCTCATCTGCCCTGAACCTCTCTGGCAGCTGTGTCCTTGTGTTCAGCCTGTTTCATAGGGGCTGGGGTCTTTTTGTCCTAGAAAGGGATGGTGATGCTGGTGAGCAGCACATTTCAGTGTGAGCCTGGAGTTCACGGGAATCTTGGCTGGCCCCCTGCAGGCTGAGTGGCCTTGGAGACTTGCCTTCTGTACATGTAAAGGAGGGGTTGGTGACAAGGGAACACTGGCCCCCAACACTCTGGGCAGTTCCCTCCGCCACACATGAGCCCACATCTTTAGGATCTGCATCCCTGCAGCATGGGGGTCCGCATGTTGGGGCCAGCCGACCAAATCTGGCCCTCTGCCTGTCTTTGCACAGCTGCTTGCTAAAAAAGGGCTTTATGTTTTTACATATTGAAAAATATCAAAAAAGTATTTCGTGATATGAAAGGTACAGAGAACTCACGTTTCGATGTCCACCAATAGTTTTGGCCATGTTTCCGTTTGTTCACACGTTGTCTGTAATGCTTCCGGCCACAGCAGCAGAGTTGACTAGTTGTGACAGACTGTGTGAGAGCCCCAAACATTGGCCACGTGGCCCTTTACAGCAAGTCTCTGCCTCTGCTGTGGCGATCCCCCTCCAGACTTCTTAGATAACAGCGGATAAGCTAACAGTATCCAAAACATGGGGAACAGACTTCGTTACTTCTAAGCTTCCTTCAACTCTAAACTGCCACTAATTAGGACACCACGCCCACACAACAATTAGCAGCACTGCAGCAAAAACCCCCTCAGCATCAGCGGGCACGGATCGTGGATTTGGCTCATACCTTAGCCACAAGTGTCTGGGCAGGACAAGCCAGCCCGGCCCCCGCCCGGCCGAGGGCCCCGCCCCCACCCACCTTCGCCAGGTTTCCCAGCTCACTGCACCGCAGGAAAGGTAAAAGCCAGGTCCTACGTATCAAAAGCACTGTTTAATTATAAGATTCGAACAGAAAGAAGCAAGGTCAAAACTGCAAACGGAAACTTTAGGAACATCTCCTTCTAAAGCCGTGACATTTGTCAAATTTCCAAAACAGAAGATTCCTAGCTCTGACACCGACCTACAAAATGGCTTAGGTTAAGGTACAGGCTGAGGGGCAGGCGGGGTCCACGTGGCCCCTATGCCTAGCCCGCCCCCGTGACTGCATCTGGGTCCCGGCCCACAAGTCCAGGAGCTTCCACAGGGCTGCAGGTCCAGCTGCTCTCACTCCTGGTAGAGATACACAGAAACAGATGGAAGATGCCTTGTTTGTGTTCTTAGGAATAAAATGTCTCCTATGTTAGCGTTGCTAACAAAGGTGGTGTGTGTCTGGCACTGGTATTCTCGGAGCGGGTCATGGTGTGGTCCGGCGCCCATGGTCTACAATAGACGGGCAGGGACCATGTGGCTGGAGGGTCTGTGCCTTCAGGACATGCCAATGAAAATATCCTTCCAAACTTGAGTCTGGAAGCTGCATGGACAGAAGGGGGAGGGGCAGGTCCCGGAGCCAGACAGCCCTGGCAGTCCACAGCCCCTGGAAACTGTCATTGGCTTCAGAGTGGTGGTGACACATGGGACACGAGAGGAGGGTGCCAGGGCATGGGGGCCTCTGGACCAGCTCTACCGCCCATACCTGTCGTGAGGTTTAGAGCCCTGTTGGTGAGGTAGAAGATGAAAGGCCAGTTCCAGAATATTCTCTCACATCCCAGAAGCTCCTCACTTTGCCCACGCTGCAGCTGGAGGCCAGCGAGTGTATCACTAGGATGGGGTGAGAACGTGCAGATGCTGGTGCTGTGAGAAGGGGGCAAAGTGGAGCCGATGCAAAGGGCAGAGCCAGCCATCGAGGGCTCTGGGGAAATGGGGCCCTGCGGACCCCAATGACCTGTCCACCCTGCCTGATGCCCACCACATTCCCCAGGAATGGCAGTCTGAGAGAGGCGACACCACTGGAATTTCAGAAAGTCGTGGCCGTTTATTAAGACATGGAGGGACTGGATGGAGCACAGGTGCCAGACGCCTCCGGGGCGGATGGAGGAACCAGGGTCAGGGCTCTGCCCAGCAGCGCCATCCACATACCACCAGCCTTGCTGGCAGCCCTCAGCCCAGCTCCCTTTCCTCACAGGCCCACTAACAACCCAGAGACGGGTCCAGCCCCTGCCAGCTGGGCTGATGGCCTGAGTTCACACCTCTGGGACCCAGGCTCTCGGCATTGGACCAGCTGGACCGCAGATGGAAAGCTGTGGCTTCGGTGTCAGGGGCAGACACCTCGCCCCCCCTGCCCAGGGCAGGGCATCTTTAGGGAGACCTGGAGGAAACAGCCTTGTGGGGTAAGCACCAATGTGGTGGGTCTGCAGCCATTGGCGGGCGAGGTGACACTTCCTGCCCCTTCTGAGATTCCACCAAGAGACTCCGACCAGGAAGATGACAGGGCTGAGGTCATGGGACGGGGATGTAGGTGGTCCGAGGGGCGTGCAGCAGCCACACGAGCTGGGAGCAGGGCCGGGGTCCAAGTGCGGCTGGGCTCGAGGAGGCAGGAGATGCGAGCATCGGCCAGACCAGAGCACCAAGTTAGGGGCCAGCGGGTCCAGTCTCAGGGGGGGACGGCAGCAAGGGGCCAAGGCTGCTCTGCCCCCTAGGCTGAGGCACCCGGCGGGCCCGTGGGCTCCCGGGTGGACACACCAGCCATGTCCTTGGGCTCAGCCAGTTCTGGAGGCTGCTCAGCAGGCATGGCAGGCGTGACCTGTGCTTCACCCGGAGGCTGTTGGGACAACACGGCCTCGGACTCTTTCGGAGGCTGTGGGCCCTGAGCTGTGGCTGGTACCCAAGGCTGAGGTAGGTCCTTCTGCAAGAGGAGAGAGGCCGGCAGTGAGGTCAAGCAGGGCAGGCCAGCAGGGCTTGGGGGGGCAGGCAGGGCAAAGGAATCAGGCCCGAGGCTCAGGCTCCAAGCCTAGGATGAGCAGGTCCAGTCCCACTGGCCAGCATGCAGGCCACGGGAAGGGGACCCGAAGCAGAAACCCGACTCTGACATTGCTGGCTTGTTCCCCCTTCTAAACCTTCTAGAAGAACCCACCAGGTCTGTGGCAAAGCCAACACCTGTCAGGACTGAGATTCTTTGAGGACAGTGGGCACTAAACCCCAGGAGGCCTTCCCCACGGGCCTGGCAGAGGGTCTAGCTGGAGCCAGTGAGCACCACAGGCCCGAGCATAGGGTTAGCTGTTTAGTTAAGACCCGGGGCCCTGCTCCTTTCTGGCATTTCTACACCAGGATGGACGGGATAAGTGTTTTAACTTCCCCCAGAACAGAACACAGTGACATATCTGGCGGCATCACTGAGCATGACAGCATCGTGTCATAGGCGGGGAAGTCCCAGGCGCCCCTTCCTGTGGGTAGTGTGCTGAGCTGAGGTTGCAGTCGAGGAAGGGCTGGGCTGGCCCACACTCTCCCTGCTTTCACAAGTTCATGGCTGGGCCAGGAAGTGCCAGGTCCCCTACAGAGCCCAGCACCTGAGCTGCGACAGCTCTCGCCTGGCAGAGGAGCTCCAGTGGCATCCCAGTCTGGTGCTGTGTTCAGTGGTGGAAGCAGCCAGAACCGATGCCCAATCAAATGGGGTACTACTGTACTGCAGGACTGCCACCATAAAGTCACACCTGGCACGACAGTCACGAGCTGTCCCCTCCGTGGGGACAGCTTGGAGTCCCCAGAGCCACACAGACAAGACACCCACATGACAACATTCTAGAAATGGGGAGACACGGACCACGGGACAGGGACTACGGATTTAGGTGTAAAATTGGAGGCTTTACTCAACTTTAATTCTAGTTAGGGTTTATGGGTTATTATTTGTCGCAGACAGTCATAGCAAACTGGTATTCACCGCAAAGCCGCTGCCCGTCCAGAACATGCCCAGCTCCCGGCGCCACAGGGCCAGGGCGCCACTGGTGGTCAGCGTGCAGGGCACCAAGTAGAGGAGGGCCGGCTGGCCGCGCTGCATGAGGGCCAGGGCCATGAACGTCACAAGGAGGCCGATGCCATAGGCTGGAGGGAGAGACGGTTAGGGTGTGACCTGGGCTGGCTGGTCCCGAGGCTGCCCTGCCTCTTGCAGGGATGCCCAGAACAGGGGCCACCACAGACATGACATAGGGCTAAGCCAACAAGAGTCAGGCGCTTCCAGAAATGAATAGAACCTTCCAGCATCTTCCAGGACACATGCTCCCACCAGGCCCCGAGGGGGCAGGTAAGATGCGAGTCAAGTGTCAGTGAGAAGACAGGAGGGAGCAATGGTGCAGCCAAAGGGCTGAGGACACTGGGGAGAGGACGGGGACAGGAGACCACAGGGCTTTCTGATCAGCAGCTGGTAGCTGCGGAAGGCTCCGAAACCACAGAAGCGGCTGGAGAAAGAGCCATGAATATGTCCCAGTATCTTGTTTTTTGTAAATCTTTAGTTAGAAAAATGATTTTGAATTACAGTAACATATGCAAAGAATTAGAAAATCAAATCTTTGATAACTAAATGGTGACCCTAGAAAAGAACATTTTGTTCCTGAGACACTTGGTGAAGGGCCTTGACGTCTGCAGTGTGTTCACAGCTCAGAATCAAACAGTGGAGACCCTTACATGTGTGTGAGCGTGAAGATATAATCACACACACACACACACACATACACGCAGAGAGAGAGAGAATACAAGGAAGCAAATGTGACAAAACGTCAGACACTGGTCAGCTGACAGCAGGAGTCCCTTGTACTCATCTTGCAACAGTGACCCTGCAATTGTTTCAAAGTAAAAGTTACAAGAAAATAAGCCTGTAACTTCCAGGGCCAAGCCAGTCTCCAGCCTCCACTCGGCTCTGTTCTGCCTGAGCCACACCCCACATCTCCCAGTGATGTGCTCATTCAGGAGGTTCCTACATATCGGTGTCCACTGCCTGTGCACCCCAAGAAAGTGACTCAGAGGCGATGGAAGGACAGAGTTCAGCAACTGCATGCCTAACGGGTCCTACTGACGGGAACTGTGGGAGCCACCAGCACTGCAGTTCACAACGAAACCTCTGCAGCTGTGCCTTTGCAGAATAACCTCAAGGACTGTAAACCTGCAGGAAGGCTCAGGCATGTGCCTGCAGCTACAGGGGGCAGTGTGGGAAGGAGGAGGCTATAATAACCCGAAAATGCACCCGAAGGCCAGCCTGTGTCCTCTTGGCACTACAGTGGCACCTACAGGTCCCCCTCCACTGGTGTCAGGGCTGCCTGACCTGTGCACTCTGCCCCCTGCCCTGCAGGGTCCAGGGGCATGCAGCTTCTCCAGCCTGCTCCCGCAGAGGGGGGCTGAGTGTGCACCTCATTTCTTGGTGGGGACAGTCAAACTGGCTGGGAAGGTTTTAAAAACTATCGGGGCGCAACAGAAAATGAGAAAAATGTCACCTCTGTCTCAATGGCTTTGGTAACAAAAGAAACCAGTGGAAAATAAGGAAGAATAAAAGGAGACAAAAGAAGAGAAAAACTACAACAATCATGTAAAAGTGAAAAAAAGGACTGTGCAGTGAGCACAGGCTAACACAGGCTGGCCCCTGCCCAGCTCTGGGAGCTGGGGACGGGGGATGGATGGGGGTGCAAACACCGTGGCCCGCCCTTTCCTGAGCATGGTACTTACCGATGGTGCAGGCCACAAAGTAGATCCTGGACGACTGCACCTGAATGTCGAACCTATGGCAGTACGCCACGAGCAGCCCTGTGGGGAGAGGACACGGGCCGTGGATCTGTGGAAAAGGGTTGGGCGCTATGCGTCTGCCCATCTCGCAGCCATTACTGCTATTTCACGGATGGCCATGCCGCCAACTCAGGACGGTGCTGTAGCCTGAGATGGTGGGCCTGCACAGACTTCACAGCACGGAGGGGATGGCGGTCCTGCCCTGGGTGGATCCTGGCGGTAGGGGGGAATGACAACCCAGGCAGCCACATCTGTGCAGCCATGATCAATATGGGCACAGCTGCTCCCTGGGGCCGCCTCAACCACAAACCAGCCTTCCCTGCCACCTGCCTCACCAGCACCGTCTGGTCCCCACCTGCTAGTCTCCATCTTCACCCACTGGCCCCCCAGCCAGACACTATAAATACACCTGGGCACCCTCAGAGCCGTGGGGAACCCACTCTCGTGCCCAGTCCCCGTACCTGGGACCAGGATGTCCCCGAATCCAAGGAGGGAGAAGGGCCGGTCACACAGGGCCAGTGGCGAGGTGTTCAGCCTGGGCACCTTCAGGACCATGGGCAGCTGGGGGGAAGAGGCAGCACCTGCAGACCCGGCGAGCCACCGCCCCCCCTTGGGCCACCAGGGCCTGAACATACCTTCTCATGCGTGGCTGAGTCCGTAGGCCCAGTCGCCACCTCTACCATGATGCTGTTCCCGTTCTAACACAGGGGGCCACGTCAGAATGCAGGCAGGGTGGGGTACAGGGGGAGGGTGTCAGGGTGCAAGGCAGGGTGCCCACCTTGGTCAGGAAGGGAGTGATGAACACGAAGAAGACATCGTAGATGAACAGCACTAGCAGCAGCAGCGTGCAGGCCTGTGGACAGGTGTCCTGAGGGGCAGCAGGCCTGGGACCCTGACATGCCCCTACGCCCTCGGCTCCCTCACAAGGCTCAGGCTATCCCCACTGGGACAAAGCCTTTCTGAGAAAGTCTGAGCAAGTCCCACCCTGGCCCTCGGACAACAGGAGAGTGTTCTAGAAGCGATGTCCCATGAAGGGTAAAAACAGAGGACAAATCACACTCTAGGATTCCCAGCAATGGGAAAGGTGGCAGAGGTGAGCGGTTGGGAGATAGTCCGTGACAAGTTGGCTATGGGTCTGGGGAGGTGACGACCCTCTTCACATTCCCTGTGTACTTATGAGTCACTCCCACCGGGTCTTTTGGGCTCAGAGGGGAAGACCAGGGCACAGCCTGGTGGCAGGCAGGCTTGGGGCTGCTTTAGGCCCATGACTGACATGGAAGAAGCCCTCAGGACTCAGGCTGCCCAGGGCCCTGTCCCCATGGCCCTCACCTTGAAAGTGGGGAGGCGGATGGTCTTCAGCATGTACAGACAAAAGGCAATGCCCAACGCGTCCTGAAGGATCCAGGCCCACCTGAAAGAGCAGAGCAGCACCAATTACTGGGATGGGGGCTCCGCCAAGAGCCACACCCACTGTGTCCCTCTCTTCTCAGCCACGAAGCAGTCCACAACATCCTACACCCAGCCCAACCCCGCTGTGTTGTGAAGACTCAGGCGCTGCCAGAGGCAGTGGTGTAGGTCCAAGACCTGCAGGATGGGCCACCATGCTGCGACAGGAGACCCGCGGGACGGGTCCACTGTGCCGGGACAGGAGACCCATGGAACGGGTCCGCTGTGCTGGGACAGGAGACCTGTAGAATGGACCCACTGTGCTGGGGACAGGAGACCCACAGGACGGACCCGCTGTGCTAGGCAGAAGACTGCGGGATGGGCAGGCCAGCAATGAACTGCAGGGAGTGAATGACTCCTGCACCCCGTTGCCAAAAAGAGGCGGACCTGTGACAGGCCCTCTGTCCTTCTATAAAGTCCCGCTATAGCTGTGGCTTTCACACCCAGATCACAGGACAGGGTGAGGAGACTATGTCTCTACTGGATTCTAATTTCTCTTCAATAATATTTTTAAAATAATTCACAAACTTGTGCCCAGCCAGGTTCTACAGACTGTCCATGGGAACTTGGTGCCTGGTATGCCGAAGGCAGGCCCTGAGGAAGAGCATCTGGAGTTCCCCAGGACAGTCTCATGGGAACAAGAAGCAGAGGAGGAAGCAGAGGCAAGACCCACTCACAACGTCTGCATTAACCCAACACTGTCAGGGCGCCGCCATCCCACAGCCAAGCACATTGTATTTGTGCTGTGAAGTCCCACACCGAGGCTCTAAGACATAACTGGTTCAACAGAGGGGCTGTTGGGGACAGGTGGCATTTGCCCTGTGCGGCCCCACCTGCCTGGCCTTGGGGGTCATGCAATCCCAGCCCCAGTCCCTGCCCGGGCTCTGTGCGCCCCTTCCTGCCGTGCCCTGCACCCCAGCCTGGACTCTGCCTGCTCATGTCACTCATCAGATGCTTCACCTGACACGGGCTAAAGTGACTCCTGCCAGAGCAGGTTCAAAAGCAAGGAAGGTTTACAGGCAGCCGTGAGCTGCTCGTGCCTAGAGATGCAGGTACCATAGCCCATTCTAACTTTATACTACAGAAAAAGTCTCCTGGCTTAAATTTAACTGTGAGTTCGTATTCTCTTTGCGTACAAAGGATTCAAACTATTTTCCCACTTTCCTTCTGCCAGTTAAATCTGTTGTGGCTCCAAACAAAGGTGCCGCCAAGAGCATCGACTGCCTCGGGAAAGGCTCAGAGAGAGCACCAGTGTCAGCGACAGGAGGAGGGGGCCCGGTAGGAACAGGCCCGCTCTGTCCTCCTGGCCCAGCCTGGGCTCTAGGCCATGGCTGTGGGCATGCTGCCTCACAGGGGAGGCCGAGCTGAGGGGAAGCCAGCCGGCCTCCCTGTACCATCCATAAGGGATGCTGGCTGAGCACACCCCTTGGGCACCCCACGGGAGCAGTGGGGACAAGTGGCGCCAGGGCCGGGGAGCGTCCTGGAGGATATGGGATCCTGCAGGACTTGGCTTGGGGTGCCCAGGCCAGGAGGGTTTGCAGCACCTCCTATCCAGATTCCAATCACAGTTCACGTGGCAGCCGGACAAACCAACTGAAACTAGACGCGGGCAGCAGGCAGGCAGGACGGACGCCTGGAGGCCACCATTTCCAGAGGACTGAAAGGAAGGCTTTTAATAACCAAGGCGGTGAACCGGCTCCAGGTGCCCCCAAATGGCCTCAAAGGAGGCACAGGGAGGTTACGGTCCAGCACTCGGGGCATCTGAGGACAGCCCTCGGGAGGGAGGGGCCACCCACCAGCTAGGGGCCTCCCAGGGGGCAGCACTCACTGGTCCTCGTTCCGGAAGATGCCCCACACCACGCTGATGGCCACACAGAACAGCGCCAGGAGCAGCATGCGAACCTGAGGGCGCTTATGGAAGTAGGGCAGGTTGTTGTCGCAGACCCTGGGGTTGCAGATAGGGGCAGGGGTAGCCTTCAGGGGCAGCACGCCACTAGCCAGCCCCTCCCGACCTCTGACCCTTACAGCCTCATCCCCATCCAGCACCCAGAGGGGTCACCTCGACTCCTACCCAAAAGCCCCTCGGTGCCCCCACATCCTGACTCCAACAGGCCCACCCCTCAGGCCTCCTGCTGTCCTCCAGGCTCTGCTTTGAGAGGTGCCCCCCCCCACCTACCCACCTAGCCCTGCCCCTTCCTCCACTTCACATTGTTAAACCCACCATCCCCTTGCCTTTGTTACATTTCTAGGAGGGAGGCTGCCAAGTGCAGAGCAGAGCCAGGCGGGGACAGGCACTTAGGGTGAGTGAACCTGGGCCAGTCACCAAGCCGGCCTGCCTACAAGAGCCCACAGGTTCCTTATTTAAATCCTTGAGCAGTTGCCCATCTGCCCTATAAGAACCAGACTGGGTGCCCGCCAGCAGGAAACCTCCAGGCCTGGCCCAGCCCTGCCCTGCCAGGCCCCCTGTCCAGTACCCACATGCAGCCACATCACCCTACTCAGCCCCTGCATCCCCACTGGGCCTGCCTGAAATAGGATGTGTGGAGAGAGAGGCCTCCCTATTCTGCCTTGCTCCCAAAGTCTGTGAGCCCCCAGCCAGCACTGAGTGAGTGCCTGTTGTATGCTGGTGCTGTGCGAGAATGACAGGTGACCATGGGAGAGTGAGGGGTTCTTGCATTGTGGAAGTACAGCTGGTAGCCTCAGGGCCCAGGGAATGGGAGAGAGCAACTGGGCCAAGGAGAGGCTGTGAGGCAGGACCTTGGTGAGCAGAACCATAAGCAAGGGGCCAGGAAGGGCCGGGCAAAGGTCCGCCCACAGGGGCTCACCTGCATTTGCCAAACGGCAGCCTTTGGACCAACGGCGAAAGGCAGCTATAGAGGCCAGTGGAGGAGGCCAGGCAGAAAATCCCGATGATCACGTAGACTGTGGGCAAGGGGGCGGTGAGGGGAGGAGAGGGCTGCCAGGGTCCCCCATACACCCCAGGGAAGGGCCCCGTGCGCTCACACACCCAGGCAGGGTGATATACCCAGTAAAGGGAAGGGACAGACCGGCCCAAGGCCCCCCTTTTCACCCGCCATCTGCTGCACTTCTCTAGCGGGGCTGCGGCTGCTGGGGACACACCAAGGTGGTCGTAGAAATAGTACAGAAGCACCAGCATGGAGCAGCACATCACCACGAAGACGCAGGTCATGACGGGTGTCACGTCCACAGCCTCGTCCTCCTGTTTCTCAGGCCCGTCGTCACGCTTGTGCTTCATGTACCTTCTTGTGAGGCACAGATGAGTCACAGGGATGCCTGGCTGGCTGACACTGCCCCAGGAGCCGAGGACCACACAGACGGGAAAGGACTGGCAGGGACAGCTCACCAGGACAGGATGACACATCACATGCTCCATTGGCCTGCCCGCTCTCTACACACCCACATGTTCCCAGTGTCCCCACCCCACAACAAGAGAGCCAGACCTGCCCCAAGGACCTCACATCCTTGTCCAAGAGCTTGGGGTTCTTGCAGGGAGGGCTCCTGCAAATGTGTCCTCGGTCACCCGAGGGCCATGCTGTGAAAGCGATGGGATGCCCTCGACCACCACTGGGACGACCCAGGGACCCCCTCTCCCACATGCGGCCCCTGCCTGGCCAGGCCTGGCCCAGACCCCAGCACCAGAGCAGTCTCAGGCAGCAGGACCCACAGGGCCTTTGGCCGCGTCTCCTGGTGTTCATAGCGGCTGTATTCCAGAAGGCTCTCTGGGCATGTGGGCAGTCCTGTTACTTTCATTTTTTCACTTTCCAGCATTAGTTAGGGCCACCCGTCCGTCACATGCGCATGCACCCATACACACACACTTGTGCGGGGTACTCACTTCCTCACATCCCGGCTTCCGGCCCAGTAGCCCCCGAGGGCGACAGTGCCCACAGCCATGATGAAGATGATGACCATGTTGTAGTCCAACAGAGGCTCATTGGGGGCATACAGCGCTGCCCTCACTGCTCGGCCAAAATTCTGCCTCGGAGGATGCACCGGAGCTCAAGGTTGGCCGCTGTCCCCAGGCCCCTCGCCCCAAGCCTTCACCTGCCACTCCTGACCCAAGCAATCCACTCTGAAGGCAGGCAAGTGGTTCCATGTGCATGTGTGAGGGTGCACATCACCTGGGAATTGTCTAGGAGGCCAACAAAGGCCCCCATGGGGAGAGGCGTGAAGGCTGGGGTCAGGAACGTTTACTGTGCACTTCTGAAAGTTTCCACAAAGGCTACACATTCCCGTTCTACTTGTGTAATGACACTTGCCTGCTCCAGACCCAGTGCCCCAATCAAAGACGAACATGGGCCTTGGGTTAGCAGGAGATCAGGCCCAGCATGTGCGAACGGCAGGGAAGGGAGTGGCGCTCAGTCTTTGTGTGTGGGCAGCGTCAGGCCTGCCAAGCCTGGAGCCTGGGCATCTAACCAGCCACACAGAGCACTTCTGGGGCCTATGTTCCTGACTTTGGGCAGCACTGGGGGCCTTCCCTCCAGGGGCCAGTGAGCAAGAACCACCCACAGCCAGCCTGCAAGGGGCAGCCTTGTCATGGATCTGCCCACCATGTACTCAGACTGTACGGTGCAGGTGACCCTACCTTGAAAATGTCCACCATGTCTTTATGGCTGAGCAGGGCCACGGGAATGCCAATCTCCTCGTACTGCGTCTTGTTGCCTCCTGGGGGGACCTGGGGGTCCAAAGGAGGCAGACCTGCTAGCTGACCAAAGCCCACCCAGGATGGGGCAGCCCGCAGAGCCAGCCCTGAGGGAATGGAACAGTCCCAAGAATGTCCTGGGTCCTCAGGTGCCAAGCAGGGAGGGGGATACACCAGGAGGGAGACTGGCAGGCTCAGCACATGTCCGTCCCCCGCCACTGGGGGAGGAAAAGCTCGCTCTTCACTTAAACCTTGGGGTCAGGTCAATTAGGGGCCAATCCGCCCTGGGAAGGCCTGAAGGAGAGGCCGGCACCTGGGCAAATGATGCCTGCTCTTCAGAAGGTGCTTCCAGAGCTCCGCCCCGAGGCCCTGTAGCCCCCGAACCCCAGGACTGCTCTGGGACAAGCTCCCTCCAAGACCAGGGCCCAAAGGCCCAAGTCCACAGCCATGGTCAGCAAACCAAACTTGTCTCCCCCAGCTTGTCTCCCCCAGCTGTGACCATCCAGACCCCAGCCAGCACTGGTGCCCATAGCTCTCAGGCCCTTGGGCTCCTCCCACCTCCAACCCTTGCCCCTGGTAGGTCCTGCTGTTCTGCTGTCACCCAGGGTCCCCGCTGCCCAGGAGGGGCAGCCAGGCAGCCATACCAGGGTCTCCTTGCTGACGATGAGCAGCCCGTGCGCCCCGCTGCCCTGAGCCAGCCTCACTTTCTCATAGAAGGTGCAGTTCCCCCGCGTCACCAGTGGGATCTGGTTGCTAAAGCCTTTGGTGGGGAGGTCAGACGGAGAGCAGAGCATGGAGGCTGTCCAGTCCCGTAGCTGTAGGAGAGACTGAAGGAAGGCAGAGCACTCATGAGCTGGTCTAGCAAAGTCAGGGTGGGACCAAGTCCTCAGGAGAACCAATTTGTCAGAGAAGCCTGCCGGGTGGCTTCAGTATCCAGATCTCTGCAGTGAACATCCCATATGCCCCCTCCCCTCAGCCCCACCAGGTCTCAGTGCCATGTGGCAGGTGGGCGGGGCCCGCAGACACCACATGCACATGCTCAAGCCAAGGACAGGAGGGAAAGGGTGGCGTGTGCTCAAGTAAACCCCTCAGGAATCCTCCCTGTGTCTCCAGCTCTGCCTCCCGCGTCTACTAGGGACAGACAAGAGGGGCAGGCAGCAGTCTGTGTAGTGAGAACCCATCTCACTAGAGCACCCGGGCCTCTGGGTGGAGGAGCACTGCTCCTGCCACGCCCTCTACTGTCACTCCTCCCAGGACCTCTCTGCCAGGCAGCCCCGGGCCAGCACAGGGAAGCCTGGCCAGTGTCTTTAGCAGGGCCTGTCTGTTGACAGTGCCCAGACATTATTTTTTGTTCATGACCAAGGAAACAGGTTCAGAAAGGTTGCAGGGCCCCTCCGGGAATGCCCCAGATTCCAGAGGCCCCAGCGGCCTCTCGAGTTATACCCGATCAGTTGGTTTCCCAGCTGAGATCCTCCTGTCCCCTAGCTGGCTTTCTGCAGATGGGTCTCCTAGAGGGCCCCTCTGGACACCAGGGAAGGGAAGAGGGGCAGCCACAAGACAGACAAGACCCCAAGCCGGAAGGCCAGCAGTACTCACCGCCTTGCCGAGGTCATGTGGCAGGTGTGCCCACTGTGGGTTGTAGAGGATGCAGTAGTCCTTGCCTTTGGGGCTCCCCGTCTCAGAGACCACGTGCACCATGCCGTACTCACAGGCCACCTGGAGCAATGGGGCAGGGAGAGGTCAGACCAAACAAGGACAGCCATGAAGGTCGGGTTGGTTTCCTCCCTCCAACAGGGCAGATGGGGCACAACCGTATACATCTAATGGTGGAAAAAACGAGGGAGAGTGGCAAGCTCAGGGACAAGTCTCCCCACGGAGACCCAGGTGTGACTGCGGCCCTGTCAGTGCACAGCCACATCATGCTGTGGGCCCTGAACCCTCACGGCCCAACCTACGCTCTGCACACTTCGGGCTCCTGTGGCCCATCCTTTTGCAGCCTTGCTGTCCTTGGGCTATATATGATGCCTCCAGATAGAGCCAGAGAGCCTGCCATAGAGACAAACAGGTAGCAACTGTTCCCAATAATGGACACGTGATGGGGATGGACGCCAGCCAGCACCTCAGAACCCACACCCACACCCAAACCCACACCACAGATGCTGCTTTGCCAAGGTGGGGGCATGGTGGGGAGGTCCTGATGGGCCATGGGCCCTGACACCAAGCCTGGGGTACAGACTGGCTCTCAGATTGCCGGGCCTGCAGTAAAAGCACGGCCAGGTCCTCTGGGAGCTTCTCACCCTGGTCTGGTCACCTAATGGTGGTGAAGGCACAGAAAGAAGCCCAAGGCACACTGACCTCATAGCCTGGAGGCTGATACCAGGAGCTGGTGCAATTCCCAGCCCCACAGTCCCCGGCTGCCACTGCAGCCAGCCCATCATCTCTGGTGCTTCCTTTTGTCACCTTGAGCACAGTAGTACTTACAGGGTGCCGATCTCCAAAGAAGCTGGGTGCGCAGGGCCACTGCCACCAGCACTCATAGGAGGAAAGGGCAGGGCGGGGGCTGCCTGAAGCTGACTGGGGGTGGGGTGGGGGGGAGGGGCCTCAGAGCACTTCGCTAAGGCAGTATCCTGCCCCCACCTGCCTCTGCTCCCACAGAACCTCCACACACTTCACATGTCACCTCGTTCCCTTAACCAGGGGCAGAATTAGGAGGTGCCTCTTCCAGGTTCTCAGACTGCCCCCAAGTACCATGCTCAGTGTATGCCCCTTCCAATGGGACACCCCATGGTGAGAGCCATCTCCTTACCTTGGGTCACTGCAGGGAGTATAGGGTCCCTCAACCCTCAGGCCTCATCTGGCCCACCTTCTGTGTTTGCAAATAAAGTTTTATTGGAACATGGCTGCCCTGTGCCTGTATGTAGGGCCTCCAGCTGCTCTCAGCTACCATTGCAGAGTTGGGTAGTTACCCGCAGAGCTGAAAATATTGTCTGGGCCTTTCCAAAAATGTTTGCTGAGCCCTGATCCATGAGAGCCGGGTTGTTGGTAAAAACTGTCCTTTGTGTAAAATAGGAATGGGTAGAAACTAGCTCTTTATTAAAACAACATTTAAGAGCACACAAGCACACCCACACGCTTTCCTCCGCACGACTCGCACAACTAAACCTGTGCTGTGTCCAATGCTAGGGAGGGCACGGTTTCACTTTGAATGAGGTTTCCTTGCCCACTGAGTTAAAGGAACCAGAAGTTCATCAAAAGGATCCAGTGCTGCAAGTGCCCATGTCCCAACACAGCCCATCCCAACCTGGAGAACCAGGATGAGCCAGGACTAGAGGGCATGCCACCTTCTGACACGTCACAACAGAGCAGATCCAGTAACTTCCAGGGAACCTGTGACCATGACAGTTTCCATATCTGGGGATTTGAGAGAGGCCAGAGTCCAGACTGGGGCAGTCTTCCTTCTCATAAGATGTGGTGAGTTCTGGGAAGGGGTGGAAAAACGAGGAACCAGATGCTTGGAAAGAGAAGTTCTAGTGGGGGCACAGTGAGGGGGGATGGGACCAAGTGGTGGTGGGGAGCTGGTGAAGGAGGGCAGGGTGGCACTGACATTAGTTAAGATCTGCTCAGTAACAGCCTCTGTTCAGGACTATTTACACGTCTCATAGCAACTGGGGGATGTGGGCCTATTGGGGAAAGTCAAATCTATCACCCGGATCACAAAATGGTAGCAAATGAGTTTAAGTCTGTCAGCAAGCAGCCCCCTGCCCAGAAGAACCATACCCACCCACTGAGGGCCACTGTTCTGTGTCAGGGTGTGTTTACATCCAGGGGTCTGTTCTAGGAAGAGCAGGCCCCACTGTGCTCCTCACTCTCTCCCAACACCCCATGCTAAGGATAAAGTTCAAAAGCCTCAGCCTGCCTGGGATAAAGTGCAAAGGCCCCAGAACCATGAGCCTTCCAGAACCACTTGGCTCTGACCTGCCCAACCCAGGGAGGCCACATACCCAGCCTGCCCTTTTATCCTCTGTCTTTACCATTTACTCCCACTGCTGCACCCCCTGCTGCCCTCGAGCTGAAGGAGAAACCCCAGCCTGTCTTCAAAGTGCACTCCAACGGCCTCCTTTGGGGTAACATCTGTCTCAGGATCTAAGCATCGGACCAGCCTCCACACCAGCCAGAGTGGACCCCTCATCGTCCCCAAATAAGTCCTCAGCTCTCATGCCTCCGCCTCCGCCAGCTCATGCTGCTCTGACCACCTGCAATGCCCTCCCTCTGCCTGCACCACATGGCAAACTCCTACTTCTCCTTCAGAACAGCCCCTGGGCACCACTGCTTCTGAAAAGCCTTCCCACTCCCTCTGTGGTGTTCTCACGCCCCTTCATCCCCCTCTCTGCCCTGGTTCAAAACGTTGGAGAGCTCAAAGTCCTGGCCCTCAAATTGCTCAGGCCAGTGAGGAAGATGATTAAACAGCTCGGGGGAAGTGCAGGGGCGTCCCAGAGAGCTTGGGTGGAGGGGACCATCTAAACTGACACCAGGATGACCTAGACATTCCAGGGAAACAAAAAAAAAAGAGAGAGAGAAGCTTGCTTCCAATAAAGGAGAGCTGGAAAGGGAGGGACACTTCCTGGTCAGCGGGATCAGAGGCCTCCCAAATGCACCAGGACACCACCTGAAAGCTGTCATCTGGACAAGACCTGACACACTTTGAAAGAGATCACTACTGCTGTGTTGAGAATGGACTGGGGATGTGGGGGACAAAAATGGTCACTGGGAGAACGCTAGCCGCCCATGGGGAGCTACAGCGGAGAGGTGGTGGTGGGCTGGAATGGGCAGATCAAGGTTAATGGCCCTGTTTGTACAGCTGTTAGGGGCACCATTCCCTGAGCTGCTGAACCCAGAGAGAGGAGGGATTGGAAATAAAAGATGCGCTTATGACGATGTACATCAGCCATCTCATGGTCAGTCCCCCACTAGCACCAAAGACCCTTAACATTAAGTGACAAAGAAGTAGTACGTTACACCTTCATCACCCTATGCACTATCTCGCTGAGTCCACGCAGTACTCTTATCTCCTTTTGCAGAGGAGCAACTGATGATCAAAGCAGCGGAACTCCTTTGCCCAAGGTCATGGAGCAAGAGTGAGATGGAAATTCGACTCCCTCCAGGGCTGGGCTCCTGGCCCACTCCCCGACACTGCCAGGCACTGGGCGCCACGCTGGACAGCTTACCAAAACCACAGGGGTGGGCGCTAGCACCGTGCTTAAGGGGAAACTGAGGTGCAATCACCTGGCTAAGGCCACGGAGCCAGACGGGAATCCCCAGCAGCAGTTAGGGACCCCGAGACGGACCAGCGGGGCCCGGGGGATGAAGAGGAGACCCCGAACTTCAGACCTGCGCGGAAATGAGTGACGCAGCGGCTGGGGAGGGCTTCCGAGGCGGGGAATGGAGTCAGGCCAGAGAGAGGCCCGCAAGGTTACGGCAGGGCTCCAGGCCTGCGGGTCGCCCGCGCTAGGGGTGCGAGTCCCAGAGACTGCCGCCGGACCGTGCGCGCGGCCGAGCACCAAGGGGCCGGGTCACCGCATCTGGCGGGGCCGCGGGGGCCGGCGCATCCCTCACCTGGGCCACGAAGAGGAGGATGGCTGCCGGGAGCCAAGCCACGGTCGCCGCCGCCGCCATGTCGGCTGGTCCCCGCCGCAGGCGTCGCCAGATGTTTCCCAGCAACGCCCCGGCGCGGTGCGCCGCGCCGCGCAAGCGCCGTACATGGTCCGCGCATGCGTGCGTGCGGGGTCAAAGGGCGCGACGGCGACGCCTGCACAGAGTGGCGCGACGCGGCAGAATGGCGGTGAGCGTGAGGCTGTGCTCGCGGGGCACTTTGGGTGGGCGACGCGAGGTCCGGCGGCGCTCCTCGCCTCACGCGCTCTGCTTCCTCTGCAGGACAAAGAGAAGAAGAAGAAGGAGAGTATCTTAGACTTGTCCAAGTACATCGACAAGACGATCCGGGTGAAGTTTCAGGGAGGCCGCGAAGGTAAGGCCCCCGCTCCCGCACCCTCCTAACGATTAACGAGAAGTAACGAGCGACGATAGTGACAGCCGATGCCCGGGTTCCCCTTAGGCGTTTTGCCCAGATAACTCGCGCAAGTCTCCTAGCGACGCCGGGAGTTCGGAGCTGCTATGCTCCTTCGGCAGCTGGGGAAACAGGCATGGAAAGGGGACCAAACTTAATCCAACCCACAGTGGCTTATCCGGGATTGAGACTTTGCCTCCTGTGCGGTTCAGTCGCTGCAGCTCCTCACTGGCACCTCTGCACCAGGGTTCCTCAGGTACTGTTAACATTGGGGCCCTAATGTTCTAGGACGGTCGTGAGGTCAGTCCTGGGCACTGTGGGGTGTTGAGCAGCATTCCTGGCCTCACCCAGTGCCCCCTGGGGGGCAGTCTTGCCCCCGTTGAGACCACAGCTTTACAGTGAGACTCCCCGTATGGATTAGAGGAACCCGTTAAAAACAAATCAAATCTTGTTCGCTGTTCAGCTTTCTGGGCCTCCCCATTGTCCCAGGGTAAGGACAAACCTTTTGTACCTCTCAGTAACAAATGGAGCTTTCACCTGCCATAGGGCAGTAAAGGTATCTATGTTTTCTCTGGCTGGAGTGCTTTTACCCGGTTAACTTGTTACCAGGTTAACTGCCAGAGTCATTTTCCTGCTCTCAGCTCAAGGTTCTTGCTCTGGGAAGTCTTCCCTGACCCTCCACCCTGGGTCAGTCCCCTTTGTCATAACTTCCTGGTAGCACTTGTCACAGTTTGCAGCTTTACGTGTTAACATGGTGCTTAACTCTGCATTTTCCACTGGAATCTAGTGAGGAGAGGGCAGTACAGCGCCTGGTCCCTGCCTTTCAGGGAAAATGGGCAAGCAGAGTGCTGACATAGTGGGGTACCTGCCTCCACCAGGTGAGACCAGAGCAAAGGGAGGCCTGGAAGAGGAGGAGTAAGAAAGGGGGGGTGGGAGGTGGAGCGTTACAAGTATTGGGTTGTCGGAAAAGGCATGACGTATTTTTTCTGTGTTTTTTGTTACAAAAATGCTTCATGACTTTTGTGACAACCCAATAAGAAGCACAGGCCAGAGAGAAGAGTTGGGAGAGGCATCAGGGCAGAAGGATGGATGGCCTGTCAAGGGCATGTGGACCGCCCCCCCTCTCAGTTGCAAAGATACATCACTTGGTCAAGGAGTCATAACCTAGGATGCCTGTTTGTTTTTTTAGTTGAGGTAAAATTCACTGAACATAAAATTAACCATTTTAATGCATGCAGTTTAGTTGCATTTGGTACCTGCTTCCCAAACAACTGTTGATCTTATGCTTTTCCATTTCTCTTTTCGGTAATTCCCACAAGCCAGTGGAATCCTGAAAGGGTTTGACCCGCTCCTCAACCTTGTGCTTGATGGCACCATCGAATACATGAGAGGTGAGCGCAGTCAGGGAGCTCAGAGGCCTGCTTGCCGGGCTTTTCTTACTGTCCCAGACCCCCCCACCTGCCATCTTAGTGATGAACTTGGTCCTTAAAGAGCAGGCCTCTGCCAGGTGTGTTTCATCTCCCACTGACCCAGCATTCCAGGCAAGCTCAATAGGCCGTTGTCTTGGGGACTTAAAGGATGTGGAAGCATTTTGCTGATCCATCACTGATCCTGTGGCCCGTGCTGGGCACTAAGAGTGTACCCGGCTTGGTTAGAAAGATGTCATCCCACTTTGGGGCTCTGCCAGCCCTGTCTCCTGCGATCACTGTGTGTTACCTCTACTGCTAACAAAGGATCCCCTTCCCCTTGTGCCCTGCCCCAGTTCCTATCCCTCCAAGTCACCAGACTCTCCGCAGCAGCCCACAGCAGTCAGGCCAGCCCTGGCCCATCAGCCAACAAGTTCTCTAGCTCAGCCTGAGCCAAGCATTAAGGGGACCCAAGGCCTAGAAGGGAAGGAGGGAAGGAGGGAGGGCTGCTCCCCTCAGGGGACCGTCACTGTCTTGACACGTGTTACTCTGCTGAAAAGTTAATGGAGCCACACATGAGTGTCACAAGGCCAGCAGGGAGAGGCCCTTTTTACAGGAGAAGCATGGTCTTAACTCAGTCGGCCAATTTCGGGGAGCCTATCGCTTTTCCCTCATCTTTTCTCCTGCCTGGGTCTGCCCGGAATCCCAGCCTCCTTGGGCAGATACATTTTCTTATCTGTAGGACATGGGGCCTGTGGGGAAACCAAGTCAGCTTGAGTGTGCAAAGCACTTAGGGCCAGTTGGCCCTAGGAGCCGCTCCTACCAGGCGGTGGACTCACTTGTTGAGTGAGTCTGCATCCCCAAGGGAGGCCTGGACACACAGCATGGTTCCCAGGAGGGGAGGGTCAGGCCCAGACAGCTATTGTCCCTGCAGGATCTGAGGGTGGAAGGCTGCCTCTCAGATCTGTCTCTGATTTCACTGAGCCACATGGCTCTCCCCTCCCCAACATCTTGCAGTAACAATAACGGGGACTTTTAGTCGCTGCCACCTCTGTGAAGAGCTCCCCTCGAGCTTGCTGTCACTTCCATGGGGTCCCTCTCACCCTGCCATTAACACCCCACTGACACGGGTGAATGGGCCCCACAGGGCTTCCGCCATTGTGCAGAAACCCAGAGCCCCAGAACAATTTGTATTCCAGCTGCCCTCTGTTGGCTCAGCGCCAGTGCCCCTGTTAGCACCCCATAGCCCACTGTCCCCTGGGCCTCCATGTTCTCACTTGCAGAACCAGAGCAGACTCTTCCCCTGGAGGTTGTTGCAGGGGAGAAAGGCTGCATGCCTGGTTTGGGAGGCACTTGGTCTGCTGTCCAAGCCAGTATGTGCCCACTGAGGTCCTGCGTGGAGGGGTGAAGGAAATGATTGGGATACCCTTCGATTTGGCTCTTCAGACCCCATCCCACCCGAGGCTCAGTCTCAACTCCTCACTCCTGCCCTCTCTTTCTCTGCAGACCCCGACGACCAGTACAAACTTACGGAGGACACCCGCCAGCTGGGCCTGGTGGTGTGCAGGGGCACCTCCGTGGTGCTTATCTGCCCGCAGGATGGCATGGAGGCTATCCCCAACCCCTTCATCCAGCAGCAGGAAGCCTAGCAAAAGGGGAGGGCGAGGACAGGGCTACCCTTGGACTCGCAGCTGGCCCTTCTGCCTTATGTGCGACCTAGAGGAACGGAACTTTTCCTTTTTGTATAGGTTACGTTTTTGTTTTCTTAATAAAATTGCAAACCTCACATGTCTAGGAGCTCCATAACCTTGCTTTTGGCCTTGGTGTTCTGTCGAAGTCTGGGTTCAGCCCAGCAGCGTTGTCAAGTTCCAGCTGTGGTCCATGCTGGGGACTGGGGGGTGTGAAGACCCAGGTGTGCACCATCCAGGCCAGGGGATGGGGGCATGCCAGTCCAGAGTCTTTGCAGAGTCCCCCTGGGGGCCACAGCAGGTGTTTCTGGGAGAGTGGACCAGGCAGCTCCCAGCAGCCCGTCCTTGCTTCTGCTTTGTCCCTTCAGTGCCTCTATATGCTGGCCTCAGAGAACGGAGCAGGTGGAGCATCTCCGTGTTAGCCCAACCCTCTTCTCACCTCCTCTCAGTCCAGCCCTAGCCCACCCAGAGCTCTTCCCCTGCTCCTCTTGGCACAACACCCCACCTTTTCCCTCCCCTCCCCTCAGCTGATCAACTGGGTGGTGCTAATAAATGCCCTTCAATGCCCCATCCTTAAGGGCTTTGCCTGGCCTTTGTTTCCTGAACTTGGTGTCCTTATTAGGACTCTGTCCCCACAGGACTGTACTTGCTGACAGCAGCCATGTCTGATTTGTCACTCAGGAGGCCTGAAAGAGGCTGGAAATTGCCGGTCAGCAACCCTTTAGCCAACAGCTGTTGACACAGACATACTGGAGTCTGGGGTCATGCAGGAAACAGCTGAAGGTTGGGGCTGGATGGGCTCATGCACTACCTGTCCGTCATGGCCACCAGATAAACCAGCTGGCTCCTGGCTTATCACAGGTTCTGGGCTCTGCTGTGGCCGTGTGCCTTAGCCCCAGCTGCTGGGGATTTGCTAGGGGGCCCTGCACATGCTCATCCCTCCTGCCCCCTTCCCTGCCATCTGGTCCTACCCACCTCCTCCAGTCCCTTATCAGAGGCCTCATCCCACAGCCAAAGCCTCCCAACAGCTGGGTAGTAGGGGTGCTGGCCTACCTGTGGGCAGTTCGCACCCCCAGGGAAGGTTATGACCTCAAACCTGGGTGCACTCAGCACACCAACATCCAACCCTCCATGCCTTGATGTTGGGGAACAGCTCCCTCCTGTCCATTTGATAGTTGGGGAAACAGGACTCAGGCAGGAAGGCCACATGGACGAGGGACTGAGAACCTGGGCACCTGGTCTGTTTTCTTTACACACCCAGCCTACCCCTTCTGAGGACAAGACACAATCTAAGACTGAGAGCTGCGGGTCGGAGGTCCCAGGGGCTCAACCCTGGGCGAGGGCAGCAGCAAGTTTGCAGGCTAATTAGGCTTCATTAGAGCCCCTAGGCAGCCCAGGGCCCAAAACAGAAAGACCCCTGGTTTTCCAGCCCCCAGCTTCTGTCACAGGAAGCAAGGCTTCTCCCTGGCACCTCCCCCACTACTACACCCCTCCAAGCAACCCCCAGGCTCCAGATTGCTCTGCCCACCCTTCACCTCCCAGAGAGCTAATGAGGGCAAAAGCAGCCACCAGGTCGGGCTCAAATTTCACCACTTGCTGTGTGGCTTAAAGGAAGTGTCCCCACCTCCCTGAGGTCCAGTTCCTTCTCTCAAGTTCAAAAAAAGGCATTGCAGGGCCAGCAGAGTGGCTTAGTTGGTTAAGAGCTTGCTCAAGAGTGTGAGCTCTGAGCAACAGCAATTTGATTCCCAGCCCAAGCTGAGCTGCCAACAGGTGGCAGGATGGCTCAGCTAAAACAAAACAAAAGAATACGGGCTCATAATCAAAATACTTTGGGCTGGCCTAGTGGCACGTTGGTTAACAGTTGGCTTGGGACACCAGCTATGAGCAGCAGGGCCCCGGTTCGGATCCCATGTGAGGGCCAGTGACACTGTGCCCTCTACAGCTAAGATGGTGAACAACAGCTCGACCTGGAGCTGGGCTGCTGTGAGTAGCCGGCGACGGCATAGGCTGCAGTGGGGCTGGCCGGCAGCTGGTATGAGCTTTTGTGAGCTGCCGTGAGCGGCCGTCCACTGGCCGACAAGTGACTGCCTCACTTGGGAAGAGTGCAATGATAACACCAACATGGGCCAGTGAAGCAAAGTCCTCCACAACTAGACTAAAGAACAAAAGGACAGCAACTTGTCTGTTTTCCTTCCCTGATTCCCCAACGCTGTTCCCCTCCCCCAATTCCCCAAAAAAATCTTAAAAAAAAAAAAAATAAGGCATTGCACGTGCTCTCTGTGGACGGGCACTGGGCCACAGCTGTGTGGGGAGACAGTTAAGAGCACAAAACTTTGCATTCAAGTCTGAGGACGAAAGCAAGATCCTGTGAGGGCCCAAAAGAGGGAGACCCTAACTTCCTGGGGGCTCAGGCAGAATTTCCCAGAAAGGGGGATAAGATGAGATCATTCCACTAAACCATATCCTCCCTAGAGAGTCACTCTGACCTAGTTTGTAAGACTGGAAGTAACCTAGCTGCCCATCCCCAGGGATCTGCTATATAAACTCAGGTTCCTCCGCCAACTACAAAGTGACTTTTTGTGAGGACGTTCTCTCTGTGCAGGGGTGAATTAAATATAGCTACAGATTCTCTGCAGCTCTCCCTAGCAAGAGGAGGGGATATTTCTCCACCCCTTGAAGTCTGGGGGCTTGCATTGCTGATAAGACTATGGTGGAAGTGACAGTGTGGGAACTCAGAGCATAGTTTGCAAAGGGGCCTTGTGGCTTTCACCTTCGTCCTCTGGGAACACTGCCCTGAGGCCGCTGTGATGTAAGGGAGCTGGACCTGCTTCCTGGAGTCTGAGAAGCTGATGGAGGAGCACTCGGTCCACCCTGCAGGCATCTGAGGCCTCCCGAGTTAACTCAGGTGACACCCACAGACGAACTTTGCAGCCAATCCACAGAATCATGAGAAATAATAAATTGTTTTATGCCATTAAGCTTAAGGGATGTTTGTTACACAGTGACAGGTCACCAAGACTTGCTGACTGAGGCCTATGACAGATTGCAAAGGAAAGTTTATCACACTGATACATAGGGTATGATACCATTTAATTAAGATAGATTTTAAAAGCTCTTATATTTCTATGCTTTTAAATATATAGAGAAAGATCTGGAAGGACATCTGCTGACCTGGAATTGAAGATGGTGATCAAAGCGGCCTGTTAGCCTATTCTTCATGTTTTAATATTTCACAAGAAGAAATGTAATATTTCATATTTAACATTTACTATTATATGGAAATCTTAATGGTTTACAAGGAGTTGGAGAAAGAAGGCCAGAAGCACATGGTGAGAAGCAGAGAAAGATTTACAGAAACAGGAAAGGCAGATAAGCGGAGACAGGACAGGGAGAGGGAGAGAAAGGAGGACACAGCCACCTGGCCCGTGACACTGGATCCCGCCCTCCCCACCTTCCTAGCCCCCGTATAAATCCCTGGCTCTTTCAGCCACCAGGCAGCCCACCATGACCAAGGGAAGCTGTCTCCTGACCCCTGCCCGGATCCCGCCCTTTCAGCTCCGGCCCAAGGTCCACACAGGCCTCAGAACACTGGGCAGGGGCTGCGGCCACCAGACCAGGGGCCAACCCTGCTGCATGTGCAGACGGTCACGATGGCCCGCAGCTTCCAGGTGCTAACCGAGAGGCTTTGAGTGTTGTCTGTCAAAGCCCCACTCTGGGATACATGGCCAGAGCCCCTGGCAGGTGGGCAGAAAGGGGCAGACCTCGGCTTGAGCTCTCAGATCAGCCAGAGAGGCCCAGAACATCATGCCATGGCAGATACCACAGTCTTCCAAAAGGTAGACAGCATCTTGACATTGATCCTGTCAGCCCTGCCACTCCCCTGCCCAACTGCCTTTTCCCCAAAAGAGCTTTTATAACAGGATGGGCTAACGCTCCCCTTTTGGTTCACTTAGTCCTCCCCCAAACCCTCTCATTATCCCCATTCACAGATGAGGAAGTGGAGGCCCAGAGAGGTTGAGCAACTTTCGAAGTGTCACACATCCTCCTGCACCTTCTGCCCTCCATACCCTTCCTGTGCTCTAAAGCTACTGAGGCTGACTGCTCCCGTTTCATGGGTGCACAAACTGAAACCGAAAGCTAGATGGGTGGGGGTCCACATGTGGGGGAGGCATGTGGGGGAGGCAAACAGAGAAGGGAAGGAACCCCTGCCCACCACACTGGCCTCAGGAGCTGGGAGGGAACAAGTGTCCTCACTCTCACGCTGCAGGCCCGTTCCTGCTGCCAACAGCCAAAGGGAGACCTCACTGTAACCTCCCACCTCCAGCGAAAGGCCTGGGGCCCCTGCCCCAGAGCCACGAAGCCTTCCCGCAGCGTCGGGGCGTATTGCTGTCTGATTTGAGGTCCTGGGCTCTGCATGGACTCAGACGAGGATGTGGATGTAAGAGGAAGGGTTCCGGGCCGGCCAAGTGGCCAGGTGGTTAGAGCGCGAGCTCTGAGCAACAGGGTCGCCAGGTCGACTCCCACAGTGACCAGCGAGCTGCCGACAGGCGGCAGGATGGCTCAGCTGCTGAGAGCACGTGCTCCTAACAGCCAGGTTGCTGGTTCGACTCCTGCGTTAGATGGTGGGCCATGTCCACCTGCAACTAAGATTCAACATGGCACCTTGAGCTGAGTGGCAGTGAGCTGCCGATGGGAGACGGGAGACAGAAGGCCAGAGGATGACTGGACTTAGAGCTGAGCTAGCTGCTTCCTCCACAACTAAGATTGAAGGACAACAACTTGGCTGTTCCCCTTCCCCAATTCCTCAATAAAATCCTTAAAAAAAAAAA